GGTTAACAGGCACACCTGCCTGTATGCACCTGGTACACCATTATTACTCTGAAAGAACTATTAGGATATAGTTGTGACACTGAGCTTCTGCTCTTATAACAGCTGGCAAAAGATCATGTTAACACTTAGGGCAGTTCTTCAAGTAGGTTTATGAAGTGTTTTGTGGGTTTATTATTGGGGGAGTAGAAAATTCCTCTTTGTGTGTTTATATGCATGTGGTACTTCCTTAATGAGCTAGTCACTTTTTCAGTGAAAAAGTTGAGATGATTCCAACACAAGATGTAAGAGACTGCGAATGTGTTCTTGTCTAGCTCTAAGAGGTTGAAAAGTAACTTTATTTAGAATGATGTTGACAAATACTCAATTTCTGGGAAGGGAAAGGAGGTAATATGCTTGTCTGATGAAATTCGTGTTATATTAGTATATGAAGTAGCTTTGAATCTTAAGATCTCTTAAAAGTTAAGAAAACAGAGCTGATACAGCTTTTGTCAAGTTAGTGTAAATATGTTTTATGGAGGGTAGCCCATGCTTTCTTTATACTCTGTGCAGGTAATTAGAGGTAATCAACTTCAGGTGGTGTGAAATTTAACACAGGTATTTGTTTGAATAGGAAAGTACTTCAGTTGATTCCTAAATAAAATGTGCTTTGAGAAATCACGTTTTTCATGTTACCTCTACCAGCTTGCCCACTACTGCTCCAGAAGTAGTGCTCAACTCCGTGAAGATCCTGATTTAAGAGACTGACTGGTCTATTTGGTAGAGTGATTAGTGAGGGAAACCAGTACCTACCTCAAGACACCAGTAGAAGGAGTGATAAGCCCATCGTGTTTGTGGTCTGGGGATACAGGTTAAGTAAAATACCTTTGAGCTTTTCTTTCCTTTTTTGAAATAAGACAATGAAAGCAAACTCTCAGCATAGAATCATCACTGACTGCTGCACCATGTTCAGTATGGGTTTATCACGTTATTAAAAAACCCAAACAAACAACAAAAAGTATTTGGCACACTTTAAAAATACATCTCTACTTTCCATTTTGGAAACCAGAAACTTCTTTTGCCCTCATTCATTAAAACTTTCCAGTGCATGTTTCCTCTGACGGTCAGAGACTTCTGCCTGGCAAAGTGGCCACACTGAACTGGTTGGTTAAGCCATGTCCAGACAGGTATGGCATTGCCTGAAAACTCTGAGGTATTACCTGGTAATGTCCTGTCACCTCTGATGCTTTGGTCATGATAGCCTGGAGAGGAATGAATGCAGGTTCTAGCATGAAAATTGTCCCTCTAAGTTGTTTCATCCTGCAGATAACAGGCCTGTCTTCCTGCCCTTCATTGATTTAATTCTGCCCAGTCATTCTCTGACTGGTTCTGTAAACTGCAGCTCTGTCGGTTCCCAACCATTTGATCTAATAGGCTGTGATGAGGGTTTGGTACTTGAAAAACCTTTTTGTTGGAGCTGATGACAGTGGCTAATCAATGATTCATAACCGCTTTCTTCAAAGTAGTATTTAGTCTTCTCCCCAAGCAGAGTGCAGTACGTAGAACAAAAAGTGAATGTGTAGGTGCATCTTTCTTCTCACCGTCAGTCTGCCAATGCAAGGTCTGCCTTGTCCCAGTGACCATTAGTGGCCACACGAAGTAGGTAGGGCATGCAGGGTGGCCCACTCGCTCTGGGTGTCAGCCTGGGGACTGAAAAAATCCTTCCTTCCCCAAACACCTCTACACTTCAGGATAACATCTTTGAAGCTTGTGTTCTCTTTTGCCTTGTAGTTTTGGTAAACATCCCCACATTCCCCTCCC